TCTTTTCATGTAGATTTTTGCACAGCAACAGTTTGTTTAGAGAATGGGTGTTATGTTCAGTCCATTATTAACACCATAGTTGTCATGGCGAATGGTGGCATCCATGGCGCCAAGACATTTTTCCATGGCGATGGCGCATTTATGGCGTCACCACATGAAAAAAACTAAAAATATGAACTATAGACACTAAAGTTCTATCATTTGAGCACCAGAACATGATAAAAAGACGTATATCAACATTCTAATCAAAACATGTGAATATCATCATATATTTTAAAGTAGTTCCATAAAATATACTCCCTCCGATTTTTAATAAACTTCACACTTTCCTTTTTGGGACGGTCTAAAATAAACTTCACACTTCCTTATTTCCTTTTTTGGCAAAGAAATCTACATCAAAACAGTGTCAAGCAGTGCCAAACAGTGTCTCTACAGTGCCAAACAGTGTCAAACAGTGCCTCAACAGTGTACTTTACAGTAAAGTCAAATTTCATTCCTTATTTTGTGTGAAGTCAAACTGTGAAGATTAAAAAAACCGGAGGTAGTAATATTCTAAAAAAGTTTCATTCTTTCAAAATATGTCAATATGTTTTTATGTGATGATTATGCCATAACCATCACCATTCACACTCATCATCTCGAAGGAGTTCCCTTTAATCGTTCCCTGTTGTGCATCTATCAGACTCCAGCTTTTATGTTAGTTCAGCAGCTTTCTCTGGCTTTAAGTTAGTTGTATCTTTGTTTATTTTTTATTAGGGTTTTTTCAATATAATGGGTAATGGGTTGACATATTAATTTCTTATTAGGGTTTTATTAATATTATGCACGGGCAGATTGTTTGTATATTTATCAGGGTCGAAGCCCAAAAATAACAAAGTAAACATGTTTAATATTATGGCGCACATGCCATGCTGATGCCGCCAATATGGCGCCGCCATGTGTATGGTCATTGCCAGGAGGACTTTTCATGGTGATGGAGGGTTTTGTCGCCATATGCGTATGGCTCACGCGCCATTTCTCACAATCGACAACCATGATCAACACAGGAAAATATTTTCTTGGAATAGAAGTTGACTTATGTAATAACCCAATGCTTGGTAGACAATAATAGAAAACATTTTCTGTGAATATTAAAGAATCTCATGACACAGGAAAATGTTCTTCCATAAATATTTTCCTGTGTCAAACACAGAAATTCAGAAGATATGTTCCATGGAAATATTTTTCCTGAAAATGAATAGACTATGGTAGATAACATTAGCAAGTTGTGGAAGAAAGAAGATTAATTATTTCCCACCTAATATCACTCATTGCAGGGCATTGGTGCATGGAGCCGTGATATCAGCCTTTCTCACCATTGCCAATGGTATGACAGATCAAGGTTGTGTATAGTCTCTCCTCCCGTGTGATCTCATGGATGAGTCTTATTTAGTACAAATATTGAGTTTGAAAGATCCCAGTCATGGGGGCACTCCATCTCGTTGCCAGTTTATGAATTAGGCAGTGTTTTCACCCACCCAAGGGGGAGGTGGGAGGGGAGGATCTGTATGTAAAGTATTTCAGAGACGTGTATGTTGTGTAGTGTTGAGGACTGAATGGGTTGCCCACCAACGGGTGAGACAGCTATATACTAAAATAATATTAGGAAAAAATGTAAAGGTTGGGTTAAACTCGAGGATTAATTTATTCATTCATTTAAAGTAGTACTAGGGTTTATATCTAAGATTCATATTGTGTTATTATCTTTAATTCTTACTGATAGCTAATCGGACCATGGTGTTTAGAGAGAAGTTAGAGCGGAAAGCTTGAGAAAAATATCTTATTTGCTTTTATTGCAAGAGAATGTTCTAAAGAATACATTAGCCCCCTCTTGGAGGTATTTATAGTTGGATACTAGTATACAATCAATATGTTATCTACAGTCTACATATGTCTTCATTTCATATTTAGGGTTGGTTTGCAACTGCTTTTAAAAAAGCACTTCTCAGCTTTTGGCTTTAAAAAAGCACTTATTTTCTCAAACACTACAACTTTTATTTTTCTCGGCTTCCGCGTCAAAAGTGCTTTTACTTTTTCTATTACACAAAAAGCACTTATTTTACCAAACACTATCCACTTTTACTTTTCAAAATCACTTTTTTCTCAAACACTATCAACTTTTATTTAATCACTTTTCCTCATTTCATTAAAAAAAGCACTTTTTTAAAAGCAGAAGCTGTTGCAAACAGACCCTTAGTAACTTGGGATTTTCGGTGGTGACATATGTTGGTCGTCAAGCAGTGCAATGTGCCCGGCGTATTCAATTGCCATGTGCCCCTGGTGGTATTGCAGAAATAATGTGCAAAAATTGTGAAATGTTATGCATTCGGCAGCCATGGGTTAATAGAATTGTACTGGGCTTTGATTTTTTCATGGCCTATTTGAGGATGTGGGTTGTGTTGTCACAGCCCATATACTGCATCATGGATTCATGGGTCACCACTCCCTTTGGTGAAAGCTTCTAAACCAAAAGGGAGCAGTTCATTCTGAATTCTTAGATCATTCCGAGTGTGATGTTGTAATGGTACATTCATGTCGGAGCCATCCATTCCCCTACTCTTTCAGGTGAGTTGGATGTTCTGCTGAAAGGAGTTAACGTGTTTTAGTTGAAGCCGGAGTTTCAAACTTACCTTGTGGAGTTGTGGGTAATGTTTGAGCCTGCTCTCGTTAGAGTAACCGTATGGGAGAAACCCCTAGATGAAGACCGAAGATCAAAGCCTCTAGGATTATTGGCTTATTGCCTTGAGTGTGTAATTTTAGAGCTTCTGATTGCATGTGCTTTTGCTTTTCAGTCGGCTGGTGAAACTGGTGACTCGTGTTTTTCAATTTTTTTGCCTTGTAAATCCCGTCGCCCCGTCGCCCGTCGGTATTGGTTTTTCACCTTTTTGCCTTCACGTAGGTGTGCTATGAAGGTGTTGTAGATGTCTATTATCTTGTTAGGTCGAGTTAGAGATCTTTGTTGTTCTTTTGAGCACGTGGGTTATGACTTATGAGTCTGGGTCCATTTATTCCATCAAGTGTCTCACACTCCCTTCTAGATTTTTTATACAAAAAAGAGAATAATTCAATCCTTGATGGCAATAGTATACGTGTTGTCGAACTCAAGGTGGTACATTGCCCATGACAAATTTTCTGATTCTTATTTGAACCCTTGCGGGGACAAGCTTGTGGAAGAAAACCCTAGACGAGTTAATGATCAAGAGCTATCATAATCATCCTCGGTGGCTATTTGCTTCGGTTGTATTATCATTGATAGCTCACTGGTAAACCGCTGGTGGTATTGTAAAGAGAAAGTTCTATGAGTAGAGAGAAAGTATGTGTATTAAATGGAATTTAAATACTTTACAACTGCCCCGGGGGTGTTCATACTAGTAGTAAATGAGAATCACATTAAATGCAGGTAGACATGTTGGTTATCTTGTGGGTGAGAGCTCTAGGGTGTGGTAGAATTTGACGCGTGTCATTCTTTAATCGACTATTTGATAACTGTCTTTTGTTAGCCGAGGCGAATTTTTTTTTGTCAGTGGTGGTTCCCAATGGAATTTTTTGTCAGGGGCAACCCTGGGGGAGTGCAGCAGGAACAAGAGCCCTAGGCCAAAACAAGCAAAAAAAATTAGGCCCAATATTTGTGTTTAATACTAAGGTTGAGTACACTGAATTTTTGGGCCTAACTAGTAAGGCCGGGTAAGAAGAATAGTAAATAAATCATAAAAGTATGGTAGGTTCCTCTCACTTCTACTTCTACAAATCTGCAATTCTATTATTTCTTTGCCCCTTAAATCCTCAATCTATGTTTTTTTTACTTGCTACATTAATACTGTGTACATTATTAGTTAATAGTTATGATAACTGTTTACTTTTTATTATCATATTTAGATTTATAATTGTTGACTTACTTATTGTTTGTTGTCTTATTAAATTGTGATGTACCGAAATTGTGAATTTGTTAATATTGTCATTTGATCCTGGATTAGTCTAGTTTGAATTTGTTAGACACTAGAAGTATGGCAATAAACATATTTTTGTGCTCTGGACTGACCTTGGTTGAGAGACTCAGATGGCGATAGGGGCTTGGGCCGTTGTGTAATCAAGAGTATGTGGGCTGTGGGTCTGATCTCACATACTCTATCACTCATCTTGACCGAGGTAGCTAGGCTATATCTTAAGGAGTGTTTGCAAAAAATTAAAAAAAAAACATTTTTCAACTTTTGGCTTAAAAAAACTGAATTTGGTGTTTTAGTTTTTCACTTTTTCTATTACACCAAAAACACTTGTTTTATCAAACACTATCAACTTTTACTTTTTCAGAATCATTTTTTCCCAAACACTACCAACTTTTAGTGTTCTCAAATCACTTTAAAAAAATCATTTTTTTAAAGTAGAAGTAATCACAAACACTTTCTTAATTTTGTTGGATTGTATCTTGTAGTGATGGTCAAATTGTCAATAGACCAATTCTAGTGCGCAGCTCTTGTGAGGCCACATTGACTCTTCTATTGGATGTACTCATACATCTATTATAGCATCTGCTCTTTGTTAAAAAAAATTGGAATACATTTATATTAATAAACAAGCCTAAAATTTCTCAGAGGCTCTCGCACAACAAGACTGCAGACATATTATAATTTGTTATAAAATCTTATTGTACACAATATAAAATTATGTTCAACTAAAGAAAGTGTCAAAACTTCAGGGGATGTTCAAATTTGATCCAAGACTATAATGTCAAATTTCCATTTTTCAACCCAAACTTTCAATAAAAAAAATGTTTGGGCAAACTTTCAATCCCAAAATTTAAAGTATTTTGCATTTTTTTTCAATCCAAACTTTCATGTTATGAGTTATGAGTTATGACTTATGACCATAAGTTGCAATTAACTGCAGGCATTGCAGAAAAAATTGAACACAACCTAGACAGAATCAAATGAGCACGCCCATCTGCCAATCCCCCCCCCCCCCCCCACCCGAATCTATTCCCATGTTCAAATTCCTCCCCAACTTGCTCTTCCTTCGCACAAACACATTACTAATTTATTAACCCAAATGTATTCTTTATCATCTATCTATGCTTAGTGTAGAATTCAGCAATGCCAGATGTCTCTGAATGCAGTCTTCCCTTGCGCGAGGCGGTATAGCCAAGGCAACGCTTCCATTGTGACAGAAATCAATACAGTCCACACCACAACCACGTGTCCCCCTCGGAGTTCTCCCATTTTCATCGCTTCCTCCGCCATCTGCATCGGTCTCTTGTCCTGTTCTCTCCCTCCTTTCTTGTTCCTTAGCAATATTGCTTTTTTAATAGACACACTCCTCGACGGACCAACAAAAATCATCCGAAAAGGGGCAAAATATCAAGGAAACCCAGGTAGGATTTGACCCATATAATGTGTAAAGCTCGAATCTTTATCCAATCCTCGGAAGATGCTTATCATTCTTTTTTGTTATTTCCTCCCTTTTTAGTTCCTAACAAGCCAGAAGTGCGGGTGACCTTTCTTAGGGGGTGGGGTGAAGGTTAAAGCGGATTTTGGTTGGAAATGAATGGGCATGGAGGAGGAGGGGATAAAATATGCGCTTTTGAAATAGCCGTTGTGGTTCCAAAGAAAGATGATGACCAGAGCTTTGAGTGTGTTGAGGTTCTCGTTGAGGAGTTTCAAAAGGTAGGACTTATTGTTGACAGAGTTGTTGGCCTTCAAAATGAATATATTAAGGTACGTTCACTTTTTTGTTTCTTTTTACCCCTTTCATTTTGTATTGTGTGGTAGGTGTTCTATCTTTTGCCTCAAGCTAAAGCTCAGGGGGGTCACTTTAAGCACGTATTGAGTTAGTAGTAGTTCGGTCTTAGCTCCTGTTTGGTTGGGGGTTTTGGAGGGGAAGCGAAAGGATGCTATTAATTTTAATACTTCATTCTTACATTTGCATGGTTGGTAAGAAGTGGAGATGAAAAATTATATCATAAATACACTATTTAGCTATAGAATTATAGATGTGGTCATATAGCTATTATCCAATCTAGGACTAAGTGACTAACAAGTAGAACAGATAACTTAGTGAAACAAACTCAATTTTCACACACACCCCTCCAAAATCTTCCACCCAAACAAACTTTTAATCTTTTCTGAAAATCCTTGCTAGGCAATCGCCAGACCAGCTCAAGCCCAGTCTAGATGTTATGTCCTAGTCTCCTTCCTGCGTAGTAATATTTTTTTAGTTAGAACTCCTCATTAAGAAACAGGCATGTTATAACTCAGATGAAATAATGGGAGTACTTTGATGAAATTGTAATCAAATGCACGTATAATTGTGATCAAATTAAGTGATTTAAACTGGTACTTTGGTGAATTGTAATCAAATGCACCAATAAATTTAAATCTATACTAAAAATAAATTTGATTAGGGTGTACCGAACACCTAGTGTTCATCTAGGTAGGATATTGTTCACATTGTGTATTCTTGAACCTTTTTCCAGCTTGCAGCATCATTACATATTCTGGGACAGGCTGCTGCCGAGTTGCGGATGAAGAAACGAACTCATATTGGTGATGATCCCGTTTTTAATTACTATCACTTTTTTTATGTTTCTTCTTTTGTATCTTGACCTCGGTCTTGGTAGCTTTTTGTAGAGTTTGTGATTTCTAGATTATGATTATTTTCTTTAAAAATATTAGGGGTGGACTTGCAATTTGAATGGGACGAAGTTGAAGCATTTTCCAATCAGCCTGATGGTTCCTTGTTCAGTTGGTCTGAGCGTTTCAACTGCTATTGCTATTTGCTATACAAAATCGTGAGTCTGTTTAATACCTGTAATATGTATGTTAAAGCCTTAGGGTGTTTGGATCTCGGAAAATGCTAGGGAAATGGGAAAAGATGCCAGAAGGAAAGTCATATTCATTTTACTCTGGATTGGGCTCCTATGAGAAGGAGGCCCTCTAAAGTAATATGAAACCCAACTGTTTTCACATTTTTACATATACTTGTACGTAGGATTTGTATTTCCCACCCTTGCAAGAGACACAAAATATATCTTCTGAAGCATCTAAGTTTTGGACATGGATATCTGTAAATATATGCACATTTGTACTGATCTACTACAACTTGGTGTCACTTTTTCTCTGCTCTGTAATCTCTACACTAATAGGATGTTCATTGGACGCTCACGGAAAAACATTACAGGTGAACGAGGGCAATTCAGTGAGAAATTTAAGTTTTGGCCCTGAGGAAGTTCACTGGGAGCCAGGGGAATCACTACTTAGAAGATTAGAGTATGAGGGGATTGTTAAAGAAGTTTTCCCGATGCATGGTATAAGTAGTATCTCATTCTCTAATTAGAGTTGTGACTCTTAAAATGTTATAGACTTCTGTAAGCTTGGGTTCATTTAAAGTGATATAATTGCCTCTTCTTTATAGATGAAACAAAGAGAAAGAAGCTTCTGAGGAGTTGGGCACTGAACTGGTTGGACCTCACAACACAGCCCATTGATAATATTTGCTCATATTACGGAACAAAGGTAATTTGATGTTTTGCTCATATTAGTTTGCAGGGAAAATTGCACCGAACTCATTCACAATGTCCTATGTGGTATATGAATTGTAAGTGTTATCCCCTATGTTTAAAAACCACCAAAACTACTACTATGTTTTAATTTATAGCGCAGGCTTACCCGCTGGTGTTCTTAAAGGTTAACCCCTGTCATATAGAAATCTTGAACATTATCCCCTTGGAAGATAATTGACTTTAATGTCGTTAATTTGTGTTGTAAGAGTGTCTTCAACCCATTGTAGTACAACCTAAAACCTTGGCTCTTTAAATGTGAAAATTTTGTATTCACTCCGTCAGTGCAGTTTTTGCTGTAGATCACACTAAAAGTTCATATATTTTACCACATCAATTTTCTTGACATACTAATAAAACATTAATTATTATTTATAAAATAAATCATTCATGTTATTATTGTCACAATTTTGTTTCTACTTACCATTTTGGGATGTTCTAAAATTTTCTTCCCATTTTCTTTTTAGGAATGGTTTTTGTGCAGTTGGTATATATCAACCAGAACCATATAATTTCATTTATTTAATAAGCATGCCAACTTTTGGAATAAAAGAAGAATATTTTTATGTGACACATTTTGGCGCATACTGTTAAATTTTGAACATAAAAGTGAAGAAATACACGCAATTGATTAAAGTTTATATAATTAGGACAGAATACCTAATTTTACTGTTGGATTTTAATTTGGATAACTTCACTTTTTTCCCTCATTAATAGTGCCAAACAAATGAAGACCCCGACCACGGGATTGAAATGGTACACACACATGGTTCGTTAGATTCAAATTTGTTTTGCATTAGAGTGAATTCATATTTTTAATTCCAATTCAATGGTTATTGATGGTTTTTTCTTTTGGATGGGAGTATAGATAGATATCATATACGAGTGCGTAGCTTACATGCCTACTTACCGTGTGGGTTAAGGGTACATGGATAGGCTATTTCTATCAATTGATGGCATGGAGGCTGTCTCGCACTTGATTTTTTGTCGCAGAAGCGTTCCAAGTTTTGACTGACTTCGTCGGTTTGAGCTCAACAGTAAAGCTATAGGATTGCAGCTATATAATACAGAGTTCATCATAAAATAAAATTTTAATTTTCTAAGAGCCTCCTGCTTGAAGCATGCAAGAAATATCCAGTGCTCAATCCATCCCATATTATTTGACAACTTAGATAAGTGTAAACATGTTATAAAATATGACAAAATAACCATCTTATCCTTATTTAAGTTTAATCTTAATGAACTTTATCTCTTGTTAGTGTACAAAAGCCGAAAAGAATTTAAAGAGGATATTTAATGTTAGTAAATTTGGAAAAATAGTAAAAACATGCATTGAGTTCCTAAACTGATAATTATTTTGGATTACCAGAAATTGGCTACATTCAAATGATTTTGGACGGAGGGATCGAACTTTTGTTTATAAAGTTTTGATTTCCTAGTGATAAGAATTGCCAAGAGATTATATTCAAAAATTGCAAATAAGTTATATTCAAAATTGACTTCATTAACAGTGATATGTGTGTGTTAAAAATATACTAGTGTAAAAATTAAGTTGAAACGTTTATTATTTGGAGTAAAGGAATAGTTAAGGTTATGTCAGTTTGTTTATGAAAATGATTGGAAGTTAAAAAATTGAACCGTAGTGAATTAGAGCAAAGAGTTAGATTCAGAGTGAAATCTTTATTTTCATATTACTAGTCGATTTTTAATTTTATTACTTCTATGGGTTGGATGTAGACATGTAGGTGTATGCTACAATTTAAGGACACTAAGGAGTGTTTACTATCATCACACGAATGAAAATCAATAAAGCGTCACTAAAGGTGTGTGCTCATCATAGCCACTGATGGAACTGTTTTCTGGGACAACACCCACAGGAAACAAAACACTAGCAGTTTCATTGCTTATTTTGACACAGAGGGGGATGACACACATGATTTGTATATGACATGGGAGTTTGGTGCAATTTACCCCAATTTTTCCCATTATTCTGTAACTGTCATTTTTTGTACCTATAATATTTTACTGTGTCTAATAAAATCTTATAAAGATCAGATCAGTCTTGTGTATGGTTGATAAAAACGTATGGAAGATGTTAGATCAAAGGATCAAAAGCGCAAAAATGTGATCATGTAACATAACTCAGAGAACCATATTTGTAAAATTCGACTAAAATGACCGATTGGATACAATTTAGGGACCAAAATGTGATTTTATGTTCAGGTTCTTCGTGACGATTCATATGGAAAAAAATGTATGCTAGCATTACATATATGGTATTATGGTTACAGATTGCTACATATTTTACATTTCTTGGGATGTACACAAGATGGATGCTCTTTCCTGCTGCATTTGGACTGGCAGTGCAGTTGGTTGACTTTGGGTATGTTGATTATAAATGAACTTCCTACTTTGCTTTAGGGTCCAATTAAGATAGTGGGGATGGTAGTGCACGTTTATAGCGGTGGAGGTGAGTTTGGGGTATTGTAAGGTTAGAACTGTGAAAAAGTTTTGTGTTTTGGGAAGCTAATGGTGACCATGCATTTGGTGGAACTTTAAGTCACTATAAATACATCGGTGTAAAAATGCAAAAAACGAGAGATATAATTTTAGCATAAAGTAAAAAAAATTGGTAAAAGTTATCATATGAGTGGTACTTTTATTTATCATTTTGCTAACATATTTATACTGATGTATGTATTTCATGTATACGTTTCCTCCATGTCTCATTTTAAAAATATTTACTCTGTAAATGATTACAATATTAATATTTTTGGGGCAAAAGTGCCCAGAAGTATTCTAGAAGCTCCACTATTCAGCTTTCAAAAACTGAACTGCACCTTTTGTATTTCTGCGATTAGAGCTTTTATTTGTTCCAAACAGAATGCATCTAAACGACTCCAAAATCTGTGTTTGGAGCTTTTAGAAGCTCTAAAAGCTGGAAGCTCTATCCCAAATGAAGCCTGAGTTTCTTGCTTGTTGTTTATTAAAGAACCTCTTTCTATTTTAATTTATCTTCATTTTCTTCCTACAGATCACTGCAGATGTTTGTTCTTCCTGTTTTCTTTATATGCTTAGTCTCATGGGCAGTATTATTTCTCCAGTTCTGGAAACGTAAGAATGCAGCTCTTCTTGTCAGGTGACATATAAGAACTTCTTATGCTCATTGAAAACATTTCTTACAACACGTTATTTTCCTTGAAACTAATGTCCCATTGTCGTCGTGTCTCCCTAGATTTTTGTGTTTATTATTATATGAATCAATGAATGGTATTTAGTAGCTTTCTCTCAAGACTTTTAACCACACACATATTTCTAATACATGTGAATTGAATTAATACTATTATTGAGATTCAATTTAAGGTAAGCATTCATTATTGGATGTTATAGGTGGCAGTTAAATTACCCGATTGGAGGATATTCTGGATTTAAATTTGTGGAAAGGGAATGGGGTCTCTTTCAGGCCCCGGTAGAGCTGGTCTTGCAATGGGGAATTGATAACTCAAAAGAGAAAGAAACATCCCAAAATGAGGAATGGTTTGGACGCTTGATGAGATTCAGAAATGATGCACTGATTATACTGAGCATCATCTGTCTCCAACTTCCTTTTGAACTTGCTTTTGCCCATGTCTATGAAGTTTTAAGCTCTGATATATTGAAGTAAGCGTTTGACTTATTATTTTCCAGTTTTTGTAACAGTTCTCTTTTCAGATCGATTTCATTTCATTTCAGATCGATTAATAACTAGGAAAAGTATAATTTTCGTATCTAGGTTTGTTTTTAGCCAAAGCTTTTAAGATTTACTATCTTTTGATTCTTTATTGCTAATTTAGGCTCCCTGTGGTGGCCATAATTGGATTATTTGGCTTCAAGATAATAGGTAGATTGAGTCGGATTTGACTTCACTTATTTGGCTGAAATGGTTGTTACCAAAAATGGTTCTTTTCAGAAATTTCATTAGATTATGCCATTTCAGCCAAATAACCCTTGCCAGTGAGGCCCATTAGTCAGTTCCCAAATTTGCTGACAATTATCCAATTAACTTATATGACTTCAGAATATTCTTAATTTCAGACCTTGCATATCTGAACATCTCAGTTTCCCCCCCAAGTGATTTTGTCTTCTATTCCTAAGTTGAGATGATTGGCCTTGTTGTGGGCTAGTGATGAAATGCCCTTATATTATACTTTTACCAGAATGCTGATCCATATGCTTGTTTTCAGGTTTGCTCTGACAGCGGTATACCTCCTTGTCATCCAGTATTTTAATGGAGTTGGTGGTAAAATATCAGCCAAACTTGTGAAATATGAGGGTAATAAGAACATGGAGTATAAAGCTGACAGCTTGGTTTACAAGGTTGGTAACAAGAGAGTCTGTTTTGTCTGGGTGTTTGTGTGTCTATTTTAATCTAGGAGTGTGCTTTATTTTGCATGTCTTTGGCCTTTATTTCATGCAAACATACATTGGAATTTTCTATCATGCGCTCTTACAATGTGCCTATTTTGATCTAGGAGTGTGCTTTCCTTTGCAGGTCTTTGGTCTTTATTTCATGCAAACATACATTGGAATTTTCTATCATGCGCTCTTGCATCGCAACATTTTGACACTTCGTCAAGTTTTGGTTCAACGTCTAATTTTGTCTGAGGTAGGAGAAACTTTGCATAGCCACTCTCTTAAGTTTGATGCATTTTATACTTTATAAAATCCACTTTTCGTATTTTTTCTTCTCCTATTGGTCCTGTCCAATCACTTATTGTGCGAATATTAACCATATATTGTTTGGAAATTGGCCGGATATGTGGTCGGAAGGGTCAAAAGTGGCAAGAAATCTATAGTCGTCCAAAAGTGCTTTTTTTTAATCTATGAACAAGCCTCAAACATCTATCTGATTATTTATCATGTTATGTATGTATTTTTAGGTACTTGGTAATCTGGTCGAGAACTCTTTGCCGTATTTAACGTATAGTTTTAGGAAATACAGAGCAGTTAGGTAAGCCATTGCCTTTTTTCTCCAACAACTCCCTTCCCTTATTTTTGCGGGGTTTTTCTGGCAACTAAATGTATAAAACCTTATTCTTCAAAGAAACAAGAGAAAATCTGGAGGACTATCCCAAGGAAAAATTCAATACTTCTCCAGGGTAGAGAAGGAATTCCTCAAGCCGGCTTATACTGCAAGCATTGGAGAGGAGCTTGAAGATGGGCTATTTGATGGTATGTCTGTCAGTTTTATTCTATCCCCCAAAGAGAGTCTTGTTTTGACTAAAAAAACTTATTTTTATTAATTTTGATGTATTCTTTCAAAACATCAAAAAATTGAAGTAAGTATGTTACTTTAAAAATATAACCTTAAAAATGAAATTAGGATAGATAATTTTCAAAAGTTGGTGTACCATACTAAGAATAAAAAGACGCACTGATAAAAAGACTTTACTGGGACAGATGTACAACTTTCAAAGTTGGAGAACCCTTTTCAAAGACTATTTAATTTTTAAATATAATTTTGTAGTGCAGCTTTAGCAATTATATTGTTGTAATTATCTGACTTTTTTCAACATAATGTTACTAGATTTATTGGAATTAGCACTGCAATTCGGCATGATCATGATGTTTGCTTGTGCATTCCCTCTCGGTTTTGCGTTTGCTACATTGGTATGCACTCTCTATCTTCGTCATACTCTCTCCCCTCTCTCTGTCTCACTTTAGTATGCCACATTTGACTTTGTGCTCAAATATTTTTAACTTAGAGCAATAATATATGTTATGAAAAATGATCTCAAATGATTTTTAAGTGAATAATTTTTATCTCTAGAATTCTCATGAAATACACAAGTTCTGATTTTTCTAAGCTCTAAAGTGGCCAATTAAGCAGAGAGCACTGGCCTCCTTTGACTGCTTACATTTTATTTCCCGGACTGATTTCGCTTAGTTTTAAAGTGAGATGTAAGAGTTTCAAGGATGCAATTTGTTTCATGCAGAACAACATAACTGAAATCAGAACAGATGCACTTAAGCTCTTAGCCATATTTAGAAGGCCGGTACCTCGGCCAAATGCCACAATAGGTGCTTGGCTTAATATATTTCAGGTAAATCATCTGCCCAAATTTCTCTCCTCTGCAGCTGAAGTTCATTATGTATTCCTAGAATGTACTACCTCCGTCCCGCTCAAAGGTTCTCATTGCAAAATGGCACGATTATTTAGACAATAATTAAATATGCTAAATAGGAACTTTGAACTTTTGACCGAGACGTCCAAAAACAGAAAGTGAGAACCTTTGAATAGGACGGAGGGAGTAAATGGTTTCCATAAGGGTATGTTTGGATCCCAGAAAATGATAGGGAAGAGGGGATTTGAAGAATGTTATGCCCACATGTTTGATTTTACGTAGGAGATTGAATTATGATTTCTTAAAATAAAAACTTCACATATATTTATATTTTAGTCTTTATTTATTAGATAAAAAAATATATTGAGTGAACAAGTGTCTTAAAAGTTTTTTGAGTTAAGCCTATCTTTTATTTTTCCCCACATTCTTCCTTCCATTTTCCCGAAAGGTGGTTGGATCCCTTCAAATGCTAGGTTAAGAGAAAGTAAAATGTTAAGGATGTATTTTCATGTGTTTGGTTTTATCACCGAAAATAAAAAATAAATAATGCTTTCATTTTTTGTACATGTATTTAGGTTTATTAATCTTTATATAATAGAAGTAGATGAATAAAATCAGTTTTAACAAATATCATTGAATCAACTTGTTGACTTTGAGGCTTTGAGCAAGTGTTTAATTTTCTTTCTATAGAAATGCATTGTTCCTCTAGTTTATTTTCCTGGTATTTCCCAGGAAGTAAAGCTAACGTAACACTGCCTTATTCCTTACATGGTGTTTAATTGATGTGGTGTTGGGTTTCAGTTTCTGATAGTCATGTCCATATGTACAAACTGTGTGCTTTTGGTATGCTTATACGACCGGGAAGGAACCTGGAAAATTTCACCTGGTCTTGCAGCAATCCTCATTATGGAACATGTCCTCCTCTTGATAAAAGCAGGATTTTCTCACCTTGTACCCGCTGTATGTTCACATTTCTTCATCCTATAGTGCCTGTTTGGGATGATCACTCATAAAAAGGATTTTCGGTTGAGAAGACTGCTTTCCACCCAAATAGTATTCCCTGCAAAAAACTAAATAATAATAGTTTGCATCCAATAATATCATTTATTTCAATAATTTGCTTTGGAAAAGTGACTTTTATCTGTTACAGAAGTCATCCCAAACAGGCTCGCACATATTTTCCTAATAGCTTGTGTAATCTACTTATCCTTCTCTCATTTTCAGGAGCCAGAGTGGGTGAGGGCAAACCGTGCAAAGAATGCAAGCTATGCGCAGGATATGTGTTCCCGCCAGCTTTTGAGGAGCATTTCTAGTGAGAAAATGAACAAATGCAAATAACCCCCTTTCCCCTCCCATGTATAATATATACCCATAGTGGCTGGCAAAATGAGGTTTTTGGTAATAGTCTTTTTTGAAGATGGTTTGGATACATGCAGAGTTGGTCATCTTGTACAAAAACCCGGGTTCAAATGTATTTAAGCTAAGCTTTCATTTGAACAAGAACGTTATGAAAAAATTTTGTGTTCTTCTCATGAAGGTATGAAGTTGTATTTCAGTTTGAGAATCACTATCTGGGCTTCCACATCTATTTATCTTTGTCGCCATCCTCTCTTGTCCGGTTGTCCCAAATCCTTGTTTCATGTTCAATTAAATTACTCCCTTCGTCCCAATGCTTCCACTCACATGCCTCTTAACCATCATAGGCTCACAAGTCACAACTAAAGCACTCTCAAACTATACTCGAATAATTTTACTTAATTATCGTTTAAATATGTTGGACTTACTTCTCAAACTATACTTGAATAATCTTATTTAATTACTGTGTGAATATTTGTATCATTTTTTATGAAAAGCCTAAGGCGTGTTGGAAATAGCATTTTTTTACTGCAACATGGAAACGATAGATTATAATGACATTAGGGGTGGACTCGGGCTGGTTCGGGCCCGGTTCGGGCCTGGGCCTGGCCGGTTCGCGGTTCTGTTTTGTTGGGTCCGGGCCCGAACCGGTAGCCACCGGTCCCGGGTTCGGTTCCGGGCCGGGCCGAGCCAGACCACCCGTTTTTTTTTTTTTTTGGCTTCTTCCTATAGTCCTATTTAACCCCCAACCCACCCCTTCACCCCCAAACCACCTCAAACGGCCCAAAATACCAAGCCCAACCCAAAAACTTAAAAAAATTCAAAAAAAAAATAAATAAATTCGGCCCGGGCCGGGCCGGGCCGGTTCACCAAATGGAGGGCCCGAGCCCGGAACCGAACCCCACCGGGCCGGGCCGCCGGTTCGGTCCGGTTCAAACAGTGACCGGGACGGGCCGGTTCCGGGTCGGGCCGCCCGGGCCGAGTCCAGCACTAAATGACATTCACAACTTATTAAGATGAAGCTGAAGACATAAAAAAAAGTTTGTAACCAATATATACTTCCACACCAAAAAAAAGTTCGTAACCAATATATCCTTCCACACCTAGTGCTGGACTCGGGCCGGGCGGCCCGGCCCGGTTACTGTTTGGCCCGGCCCGGCCCGGCCCGGGGCCCGGTGGGTCCACCGGTTTGGTTCGGCCCGGCCCGGCTGCTGGGCGGTTCGGGCCCGGGACCAGGTTTTGGTGAACCGGCCCGGCCGGTTCGGGCCCGGTCCGGGTCGGATTTTAATTTTTTTTTTTTTTGAAATTTTTTTAAGTTTTAGGTTGGATTAGGTATTTTGGGCCATTTGAGGTGGTTTGGGATGGTTTGGGGTTGAGGGAGAGGGGTAGGGGATTAAATAGGAGAACAAAAAAAAAAATTAATTGGGCCGGTTCGGCCCGGCCCGGTTTGGCCCGGAACCGGGGCCGGAACCGGCCACCGGCGGTTCGGGCTCGGGCCTCCCTTTCCTGGCCCGAGGCCCGGCCGGGCCCAGGCCCGAACCGGGCCCGAACCGGCCCGAGTCCAGCACTATCCACACCTAGTACTTATTTGTCTAGGCTTTTTAATGAAGAGTCAAAGTGTCAAACACGTACATCATCTCAACCAAACTATATATATAGGCTCAGATTTGATATAAATTTCTCAAAACGGTATTGTAGACAGATTTATATTTGGCACGAAGATTTTTAAAAATTTATTTATAAAGATCAAAATCTTTTTAAGTTCACCAAGAAACTTCTGAAAGAAAGTCTAGCATTTAACATTAATGAAACAATCAGTTTTATCAACTTCAGCCTTTTTCTTTTAAGGTTCCTCCAATTATTAAAACTAATGTTATTAGAAAGCTCGCAAGAGTACCTTATCTTCTTATATATTCATAGTTCTAAAAGTTGTTTGGATTTTACGCCTCTGAGGCGCAAAGGCGTTAACTAATCACGTGTAAGGCTTAAGCCTTACTTTCCACTAACAAGGCTTGCGCCTTTTTTTTGCTGCGGGGGTGAACCGTTCGTTGGGCGCAAGGCGATGATGAGGCGTACGCCTTTAATTAAACGCAAGTTGGGCTTTTTTTTAATTATTGGAGGCCTCTATTTTAAATAAATAAAAAAAAAAAAAAAAAAAAAAAAAAAAAAAAAAAAAACTGGACGTTTATCTTAGTCGACACTCAAAGCTGAGTACAGACTTCATTCAGAGCTAAAATACTACGTAATTAGATTAGAGTAAAACATTCCACCGCCCACTTGTATAAAATATCACACCGCCCACTTGTATAAAATATCCCATAGCCCGCTTGTATAGTTTCTTATTGTATTTATTGTTTAAAGTTTATTTATTTAACTTTTTAGTTTTTTAAAAGATCAGTTTTGAACTACGGAGTACTAGTTTACTATGTATTTAATGTTTTTCTGCCAGTACACTATAAAATATCCCACCACCCCACTTAGTATTTTTGCTATAAAATGTTATGGTTGTCATTCAATATTATTATCCTATTATTAGCCTACGGTTTAATGGTTTAAACTTTAATTTGACCATAAAAACTACGGAGTATCATTTAACTAAATAATATACTCCGTATCTGTTTAATATCATGTACTTTATTAGTTTTCTACTACACTTGGCTTAAGATTTACAATTTAATTAGAAATATTATAGGTTAACTAGTTTATTTAAATTACGCCTTGTTACGCCTCAAGGCTTACACCTCGTGAGACTACCACCGAACGCCTCTAGGCCCGATTTCGCCTTTCAAAACCATGGATATATTCATAGTTGTCTTTACATAGTGGCTAAACTTTCAAGTATGCCCCTGTGTTTTGTACATTAAACATTTCTTTACACAACTTATTTACTGTTCGACCAAAAATAAGATTTAAACTCTAACGGACTACTTGACTATCCAAAAATGGCATAAAATTGCAACAATGTTCATATAGCTTGTTTGTTAAAATTTCATACATCTCATGGGATGATATAATCTCACAAAACAAAAAAGGAATCCAAAACCATATTTAGGGAGCAATAGAAATAAAGAAGGGATGTGTGCAGAAGTGTTTTCATGCAACAGCCTGCCTTGTCCTCTTCTTAACACCTGACTTTGAAACCTTGAGGCTCCGGTTAACAACACTCAATCTCGCAAGTGCTGATTTCTTCAGGTCTGGCCTATAGTAGTTATCTCCTACCTGTATCACCCCATTAGTCACAATAAGATGAATGAGAATGGTTACCAGATTCGCTACTGGATATAATAGCAGTATCCGCACACCCAGTAATCCCAATAAGATGAATGAGAAATGTTTACACTTTACATGATTCTCTACTGCATATAATAGATTAGTAAATACAGAGTAACAATTATCACATGATCATCATATATCATTTATACAATATTACAATTCGATGAATAAGCAATTGTCACATGATCAACACAATTAGATTAGTGAGCAATTGGCACAATTATCAAACACCGTATAACTAAGCTAAATTAGCAAATAGATAATTGAGCCAGTTAGAGATGCTGAAATCGCAAGCAAAGTGATTCTAAATCTGTGAAAATAAATTGAAATACTTGACACATAAAAGTTAGTTTTTAGTTTCATAAAAACATAGAAACAAGCTTAATCCAACAAACCAAAAGTTCAGGCAAACCCAAATTCAGTAATACGAACTAGGTTCAATCAGCTAGCAGGGTTAAATGAACAAGCTAGATGAAGGAGAAGCACCCAAAAATTACAGGCAAAATGTTAGAAGATTAAGCTAGTAGGATTAACATAAGCACCTGGTTGATAACAGCCTTTGCCATGCGGTGGAATTCCTTCTTCATGACAGACTTGTTGTGCAAATCAGCAGGTTTGTTCTGTTTCTTGGTCTTCGTAGTAGCTAGCAGCACAGTTTGGTCTTTACCAGCTTGAATAGTCACACTTTTCTTGTTTGCCAGTCCTGTTATACGATGCAATCGCCAATAAGAATCTACTCATTCAAATACGAACGCATTTTAATTAAAATTCTCCAGATAAGCATGAAAGCGGCCTAGATGAGAGCAGATATACAAATCCCTTACTGCCAATCCGCACTATTATTATCTATTTTTAAAGCCTCGGAAAATATTACTCTTCCAGAAAATTATTTGCAAGGAATTGAATCACGCAATTGTACAAATTTTGGAGCTTGAGACTAACCGGAGTGCTTGTAAGAGTGAAGATTGTAAAGATTGTTTGGCTCTTTGCTGAACACAACACCAGCTGTGCCATTACCGAACTCCTTGACCAAAAAACAATTGTTTTTCTTCACGATTTCCCACACCAGCTGGTCCGGTACGATTGCCATTTCTCTAGAATTCAAAAACTTGTCAACAAACAACAACAACCAAAAGAGCTAAGAAATGATCCAATTGGAGGTCTGAGATCGGCGGATTTGTGGAACTATATACCCTAGTGGAAACAGTAATTTTTTTAGGGTTTAGAAACTAAAGAAAATTAGAACTGGGCTCCACTCCAAATGTCTATCCAATGTTTACTCGGTTCTATATGTAAGCTAAAAAGAGGCCCCATATGTTAACCAATAACCAGCCCAACATTTTTTATGGAGAAAACAGAATTAATTAGGGGTGAGCATTCGGTCGGTCGGTCAAATAACCGACCGATAACCAAATAACCGACCAATGTTTTTTCCTCTCATAACTGACCGAAAACCGACCGACAAAATTACAAAAACCGACCGAAAAATGTCATTCGGTTTCGGTCGATAACTGAATAACCGAACATAACCGACCAAAACATATATTTTTCAAAATTATAAAAGTTGTAGATAGCACATTAATAAATAAAATAATAAATACCAAAATGGATTCAACATATTTAAATGTAAATAATTGTTCTTAGCACAATACGATTAAAAAAACTAAAAAATCCCATGTTGAAACTACTTCACTGTTTCACAATTGTCTTTTTCAATATGAAAACAAAATAAAAAAAAGGATATGTAAGCAAATAAATAAGCTAATATCTTATTAATCTTTACACCCCAAATGAGCAAACCCATCTAAAAGTTTTTGAATATTTTAAATTACACTAAAGAAAAAATTAAAAATCAAAAGATCTGCCATGTTGAGTAAGATAATAAAGGATCTGGAAAACATTAAAAGAAAAAAAGTGTGCAATTTCGCAACGATTAAATAAGGATTTCGGTTGATTTTTCTCTACCAAG